GCGTGCGTGCGTGCGTGCGTGCGTGCGTGCGTGCGTGCGTGCGTGCGTACGTGCGTGCGTGCGTGCGTGCGTGCGTGCGTGCATGTGTGTGTGTCGTATACCAATTCCGTGAAAGATTTTCATGTTTTTTTTATTAAACATTTAATATAGTAAAATATTTGTTAAAAATGGTTTTATTTTTATCAATTTTGAACATTAAAATTAAAATTTAAGTTAATAAAACTTTTAAGGTTAACAAACTTAGAGTTTCATAATTTCATAGAGACTATCGCGAAATAGATAATATTGACTCACCCGGCGGAAGGATATCTTCCGTTAAACGCGAAGCAGCCGTAGGCACTATAACGTTGGTATAAATATTCTTGCTTGCACCTTCAATGGCTAACGTGTTAGCTAATCCTACAAGACCCAGTTTTGCCGAGCTGTAATTGGATTGACCAAAGTTTCCATATAAACCGCTGTTACTCGACGTAAAAATTACACGTCCATATTTCTGCTTAATAAAGTATGGCCATGCCGCTTGTGTCGTTTTCATTGAACCCTTCAAATGGACACTGTGTATCACATCTGAAACGAACATGCATGGATCCAGAAACTTTTGAAAATCGCGATACAAATAACAAGAAAATTGTTATTGATTTTATCTTGTATACATACCCCATTGAGCATCCGTCATTTTCGCGAATGATACATCTCGTAGAATACCGGCATTGTTAATAACTACATCGATGCGACCGAATGTATCGATTGCAGTTTTAATGATTTTCGCGCCGTCCAACACGGAATCGTAATTCGCAACAGCTTTGCCTCCTAAAAGATCATCATTTGCTTAGCATTTATTCTTGTATAACATACAATATACATAATTAATTAAATTTAAATATAAATCTTAAATAAGATGTAAAACTTAAATATTATGTAAAAAAGATAAGAAATATTTGAGATAAAACTTGAGACAACACACTCATATATAATCCCCCCCACACACCCATACCCCCCCCACACACACACACACACACACACACACACACACACACACACACACACACACACACACACTATTAGT